CAATATTAGACCAATTCCAGTTTATAAGACTATCTTAAAATTTCCCTACAATATAAATTACAATAACGAATTGATTCGACATTTGTACAATTAAAAGTTTTGCTTATGTTGCATCGTACTACGGAAATGAGATTACACATAATCTGTTTCGCAGTGGGCGCGATCTGAATTACACAGCTGTTTTCATAATTTATGCACGATTTAGGAACGTGTTTGCACAAATTTTCAGAAGCTGCTGAAATCATTAAATATTTATAAACTTAATTATTCAAGCGCCTGCAAAAGGCAGGTAATGCTTTGAAGGATAGTTTTGGCGTATTTTAATTTTAAATCCGACGGAAGCACTGAATTATTTCTTGTAATATTTCTCTTAAAGTTAAAGTAGTATAATTTAAGATTTTACAGTGCATTAGGTTCATTAAGTCTTTAAAAGTGAAATCCCGTTTACCCTTCGTGGGGCGTGGGGCGTGGGGCGAACACATTTCTGTGTCCATTTCACTATTCCGTTGTTTTTAACAGGCAAGCAGTGGATCAGACTTCTGTGCTCTACCCGACCGGGACATTTTTTTTTGTTCCTCTGCTTTCGAACCCAGGACCTCTCGCGCATATCGCAATGCTAGGCATTACGATAAACCATTAGGCTATAGAGACGGTGCGTGATTATATCGTTAATATTAGTGTTAACTTGAATACAATGAACATTTATTGTAGATACATTTAAGTTTAGTTCAATTCATAACGACATTTAGAAAAACTAGTTATCTCCGCGACTTCGTCCGAGTAGAATTGTAATTTTGCGAAAAACCTCCTCAGGTTTAAAAATTATATTTGTTACCCACTGTGTCGTATGCGTCCCGACGTTCTTGCGAGTTGATTATAAAAGTTAAACATATACAGTTGAGGCCATTTTTTTGGATCATTTAAATAATTCCTTCGTACATTCTTTTTGCAGAGCACGCTACGGAGTCCCTCAAAGAAAAATAATAAAAAATTGTATGAAAGAATAGTTTCTCTTTAAATGATCTAAAAAACTGTCCGAGCCACTATATGTCTATCGTTAACGATGAACTGACAAGAACGACGGAACGCGGATGACGTCGTGGGTAACAGCTTAAAATAAAGGTTAAGCGGAGGTTTGCAAAAACGAACTTTGATGCCCCAAATTACCTATGCTCGGCGGACAAAGTCGCTGACACAGGTAGTTCTATTATATTGGTTCAAATACCGTAAAATTCCACGGAATCATCTCCTCACGTTCACAACACAGTTTTCTATATAATCTTTAAAAACGTACCCATCCCAAGCTTATATTTTATCGGCCATACACACTTATCTCCGATGAGAATGCCAGAATGCTCTCGAACATTCTTTATCGCTTTATTGGGAAGTAAAAGTCCATCAGTGTTACCCTCCGAATAATGTTCGGAAAATATTTTTACTCACATAATTTTCACTTGATTCCTGTATTAAGTAATTCACTAACTGTATTGTTGTTGTGTATTTCGGTTAAATTACACAAATAGGGTTAATTATTAATATTATTTGTTAAATTTATCAAATTATATTCTAAAAGGAAATATTTGTTTATAATATAGAATTTAATTATAACGACAGTGGAAACAGAAACAGTAGGAAATAACCAATGGGAAAACATTAACATATTCTTTTGTTTCAAGCAATAAAAGGCAAATTACTTTTCAAAACAAGGAGAAGAAAATAAAATATTCAAAACACATCGAACTCTACGTGAGTAATTATTAGGATACGGTAGTCCATAGCTTGTACAGTGGGGAAATTTTTCGAGAATCCATCTAGAAAACAAAATGGACTTGTTCCAATTTATTTCGTATATGAGAGAGAGATATTTATGTTTATATTATATTAGCAGATTAACTATCTGCTAATATAAACATCTTATCAAATAAGTAAATTAAGTTTTTATTTGGGCTCTATTGCTGTATAATCTTCCTAAGTGATTTGGCGGTTTGTTTCAGAATGAAGCTTTTGATAAATAAATTAAGTTGCTTAGATATTAAAGCTACAGAAGGACAGATAACGACAACACTTGTTAGAACTCTCTATCTACAATTAGTCGCTAAGTTTTGTAGAATATACTAGTGATAGTCGTTTCAATAAGAAATGCATTGTAGCGTAAGCTTTTTTCAATTACATGTTTACTTTTCTTATAGTTATTCCAGTATTAATATTTAGTACTCGATGATAGCTTTTTATGAGATAGAATTAATTAAAATTCACAACTACAAAGTAATCATACTGTGGTACGGACTGAGCTCTGCACGGTGGCAGTTGATTAAAAATGTTCAATGTTTGTCGAGAAACTTTTTATATGCGGAATCATTGTCCGCCATTCAAACAATAATTAAACGGGGAAATGACAAGAATATGAGTTAGAAAATGAATATGAACCCCTGTTCATATTCATTTTTAACTCAGGATAGTAAATCACCCTCAGCGAAAAAAGGGGCACTTCTGTGCCCCGTACTACCGAAAGTATTTATAAAGTTTTTGTCTCTCTCGGCCTCACTAACGACATCTAGTACACAAGTTATACCTGAGTATCGATAATATATTATTTATTTAAACTAAAAAAATATATGATGTCATAAATATGTACAAAACAACATTACGAAGAAGCGTATGGCTCTCAACACTTTCACATCACGAGTGAATAATATCATTGCTCGTACAACAAAATACTAGTTTCTCAATTTTAAATATAGAAGCTGTTTTTATGAACACTGATAAAAAAGCTGTCAAATTAATTCGCGTTTCGGTTTCAGTCTGTGGATTTTCGAATATGCGAAGCCAAAATAGGTCGACAACGCACCCATTTTAGATGTTATATGGCTGGGTTATTTCACCTACCATAACGTTAACCCCTACCTGTCTGTCCTCTTATAGAAAATATACATTTTTCGTCTGGTACTTAAAAATTAATAAAACATTTAAATAAAACACTTTAAACGGTTTAAAACGCGATATATTAGTTAAACTTATTTGAAAATAATTTTTAACTTCGGCCCGACGTTTCGCATGCTTTGCAGCAGCCGTGGTCATGGGGAGATTTAAATGTGTACTTCTCGCGTAAACTATAGACAGTATTTAATAATAAAACAATCTTAATTTATTTAGCTTTTCATTCCATATGACCATAGTTACTGAAAACCCGAAACATAATGAAGTAAAATTGTAAACATGGTTCCTAGATAAGCTATATATATATTCAACCTGTTTTACGCCATATCGATGACAGGGATAATTTTTATTAAATAAACAAGTAGTAAGTCAACCAAACTCTAAAGCTTGCCAAGCCAAAGATCCGGATTTAATTAACTGACGTGTCTCAGGCAAAATTAGATTAACTGCTTCGTTATAGACTGTAGTTATGTTATTATTGCCGACAACACGATGTAACAGAATTAAGCTCGTTACACGTGTTTACACGATAAATTTCCACTACCTCATTTCAGTATTCACGTCGTATATGGTTTAAAGAGACGTCCACGTGTATCGGACAAAAATTAAGCCTTTGTATACTATAGAGTTTACTTATGGGAAGTGATTTTTACCACCTTTAAACATGTACACCAATAGTGGTTATGGAAATGCGTAGCCGACCTTTTATACAATATGTTTGTCTTATGAAATTGATAGCTGATTTCTCACTGCAGTAAGAAAAATGCATTAAAACCCCCATTTCTTTCTTTTCTGGTGATGAAACTCCGTTACAGGTATACAAGCAAACAATGTCTCAAAAAACTATTGATGATAAATCTGATAGACGTCCTTCGATGTGTAATAGTTGATTTTTTCATTAAAATAAATCCATCTTTTTAATAAAACACTTCAACAGTTTAAAACGCGAAATATATTAAAAAACTAACTAAAATTAACGTTACCATGAGTTAATCATTGCACTTGAATTCAATTTTATTTACACAGACAAGTTTCGAATCCGTGGTACAGAAGTAAACGGCACTGATGCTACGCTCAAATATTCTCATGACAGTCATATTTTTTTTAATATCAGCAATGCTATGGGTAAACATATATTATGTGAAATCGCGTTTCCCCTTGAGCATGGGGCGAATATATTTCTGTGTTCGTTTCACCCGTTTGTTGCCCGGGATTCGTATCCAAGACCTTTTGCTAACCCAATGCTAAGTATATAAAAGTCAAAAATCATTTACTCCCGTACTCATCATCATTTACCAGGTAAAAGCTAAAGACTGTAAATTTTCGTTAACTAATTTCATTAAACAATACTCAATAAGTCTTATAAATCCGCATTATCTCGGAGAATACATTTACATTACGTACAAAGACCACCAATAGCCGCCATCAATGGTTTTATTAATTTTATTGATCAACGGAAAACCTCATTTTCAATTCAGCCAAAATAACATTTTCGTTGGGCCTGAATGGCAAATTTAATAAACAAATCATTTTGCGATTATTGCGTCTTTAAAAGGGATTGTAATTTATCAGCTACGATTTATTATTAAAAATCGAAATGTAAGGGTACCGTTAGTATGAAATTATATCAACTAGGTAGTACGAAGATTCGTAGCGCCGTGGTTTAAGAGGTTCGAATCCTGAGGAGGCAATTAACTAAGTAATTAGTTAAGTAGTGCAACTGATTTAATTCCTATCAATGTTGTTTTAATATATATTACAAGATAAGTGGGAAAGTAGGATGCTCACTAAGCTAACGTTGTAATGTATGATTTTAATATGTGTGCAAACATTGACATAGATTTAGATATATGCTAGCTATGATATAGAATAATATTATAATAAATATACAATGAATTTGTACGGGCGTTCGTCCGTACACCATATTATATCAAACTGTTTAAAGTACATATATCAATTGTGTGAAAATCACGATTTCACGTAAATTGTGTGTTCTTTTACGAAAAATTCGAAGTTAGAATACATCCATACTCTACATCGTCTATGATAGCCGTTTAAAATACCTTGAAAAGCAGCTTCGAAGAGAATCGGTTCTTGCGTGGGCGCCCGCGAGGTGGCGTTCGCGAACAGCGCGACGAACAGGGCGGCGAGCGCGAGCCACGCCATCTCACTCCATGCCATTTCCGCCCATGCTCCGTGCGGCGCTCTCTGTAACAATTACAATTCTTTTTAATTGATAGAGGAGGAGATAAAGCATGGATTTTACTTGATGGTAGGTGATTAACCTCAGCCATATAACATCTACACGAGATGCGTTGTCGATTTATTTAGGCTTTAAATATTTTGAAATCCACTGACTGATACCGAGACGCGATTGAACTTCACGGGTTTTTCATATGTGGTGGTGGTGGTGGTAAAGGGTCGTAGCCCGATAATATGTTACATGTTAGAGCACATGGGATCCACACAAAAATAAGACTGAGTCGAAAAAAAATGTGTTCTATCATTTATTATTCAATGTATTAAGAAAGGGGAATTACTGAGTTCTAGTCTACACTTAATATATTTTAGATCTTCTATGTTAAAATATAAGAAACGCGGATTTCAAGTATTTTGTTTTATTTATTGTTTATTTGGTATTCCTACAGCTCCATAGTATACATGGGTCAAACATACTTAACACTAAGCATTATCCAAAACAGGATTACACAATTAGAAAAAAAACACTATGATAAAGAGCACAAAAAAGAATATGGTGTAAAATCGCGTTTAAAACCGCTAAAGTGTTTTATTTAAATCTGTATACTCCTTAAGAATATTTCCGAACAATGTATACGATAAATATCAAAAGCATTTAAATTATCACAATGACGAAACGCTTCACACCTCTAAACGTATAATACAGTCACAGCGTAGTTAGGTATGTGTCTACATCTCGAAACCAACAAAAGTCCGAACTGAACGGGAACAAAGGTAAACTACAGTCTTGTGACATAACGATAGTTAATAAACCGTGACTTCAATCAAGGCGCCAAGTTTCTACGAGTTGTAGGAACTAGCATTGTGCACTATAGACGTATATGTTATATAATAAGTATTCTTTCGCTGCTCCCAAGTTCCAAAAGCCATAACACGCAGTACCCGCTTTGTCTGACCCTTTCTGGAATCGTCTGGATACTATTCACTTACTTTTTATTCCCCCTTCAGAAGGGTAGGTACGTGATATTTTGTTCTTAATAGTTTCGTCCTGCGTCTCTGGTCTATCCAATTATAGAGTTACGTCGCCCAGTTTAATCAAAACGGTATTTAATTAAACACTTTTGAAATAACTGGCTTCATCAAGTACACCGACACAGCCGTTATCGAAATGCAATTAACAACACAATATTGTCGATAATGATGCTAGTTAGGAATTAGGATTTACAAATAGCGTATATAGTGCATCTATACTAATATATAAAGCTGAAGAGTTGAGTTGTTTGTTTGAACGCGCTAATCTCAGGAACAACTGGTTCGAATTATAAAATTTATCCTTGTGGGTTTCCATCGCATACCCTGCGAAAACGGTTCAAGATACCCAAAAAATATGTATGAAAGAATGATTTTTCTTTAAATGATCTAAAAAAAGTCCGCGACAGTATATGTCTATCTTTTAAGATTAACTTGCAAGAACGACGGGACGAAGACGGCGTCGTGGGTAACAGCTTATTTTTTTTTAGAATTGAACAGGTTTGCAAAACCAAAAATTGATACCCAAAAAAACTATTCTACGCGTACGAAGTCGCTGATTCAGTTAGTTATAAATATATACTTTATCGCAATATTTTGTATATTGGTAGGCACCTGAAAAATAATATACTTTACCTTATGGGTTAAAACAGATATATAAAAATGCGTATTTCAAGAGTTACTATATTATTAGTGAAATAGGAAAACTCATTTAAGTAATTAAAGCGAAATAGGGAGGTTTCCATACAATTTAACCTTTTTCAAACAAGGAGGGCGTAAATGCCAATCACAGATAACAATAATAGCTCCTGTTATTATAAAAAAAATGAAATCCCGTTTCCCCCTCGTGGGGCATGGTGTGAACACATTTTTGGGTCCGTGTCACTGATCCATTCTTTAACAGGCAAGTAGTTGATCAAACTTCTGTGCCCAATCCGATCGAAACAATTTTTTGTTTCCCTGGGATCGAACCCAGAACGTCTTGCGCTTAACGAAATGCTAGGTAATACGTTTAACCATTTGGCTACAGAGTCAGTCCTGTTATTATAATATGTTGTATAATTAATATTCTGTGGTAATGGATATGTAAAATGACATTGACACTTAACAAACTCAACGATAGTTTATTTCATTGTCAACAGTCAACGGTTTGTTTACTAATAAAGAATATATAATATATACCCAGTGATTTGTCAGTGTACATATATTTTTAGTTTAGATATGAGCATAAAACGGCGTGTGTTTCTTTTTCTATTTCTGTTCGGTAAAGTGTCTCTTTTGGATAATGGATTGGCGAGAAAGCCTCCTATGGGATGGATGTCTTGGGGTTATTTCATGTGCGGTGTCGACTGTGAGACGCATCCACGAAAATGTCTAAAGCAAGTACCTGTATTGTCTCCCCATTGTTTCGTAGTTTTTCATTAAAAATCCTGTGTTGTACACTCCTCCTATGCTTTGTAATAATGCTTAAAAATGTATTTTTTGTGGCAAGTTTGTTGTATACTTTGCGAGTTTTAATTTCTTTCTTAGAATTGGGAATAACAATCTTGCATTTATTCTAAGCTATTTTATAAAATTGAATTGAATGATGCTGTAGATATTCTCATGTATATTATCAATAAAAATAAATTTAGGCTTTATATTTTACAATTTATATGGCATTAAAACATTAATTTTTTTCACTTGACGTCAAATTTAATTCGATTTTAGATTGAATGTTCTTTAGCCCAGCTCGTTTCCTGCTCGTGTCGTAAAACATTTTTTAAAGTAATTTCTTTTTATCATATTTTATTTTACAAAATTTAGAATTTATTTTATTAACCAACCACACCCCTATTGAAGCTACTGTAAGTGTAAAAAAATCCTTTTTTAGTGAGAAACTTATCCTCTCTGTGGCAGACACATTTTACAATGAAGGCTACCAAGAAGCTGGTTTTGAGTACATAATTATAGACGACTGCTGGTCTGAAAAGCAAAGGGATAGAAACGGCAGGCTAGTGCCTGATAAAAAGAGATTTCCCAAAGGAATGAAGTACATCGCTGACTATGTTAGTATGTACCTACATAATTTTTTTATAATTGAATGTATTTAAGTTAAATATTTTCAAAAATGTGATTAATCATAACAAATCTTTCTAACCAAAACTACATTTGAAACTCTTTGTGTTGTAAAAAGGCAATATTTAACTGAAGTAATTATTTTTATAAGTAAAACCAATCAAGTGCCAAGTTTGTAAATGTAATATAATCATTTTTAACTTTTAACAATTACTTTCTTGTTTTTGATAACATTAACATTAAAATCTAAAGACACTGCTCATAAAATTCATTTTCAAGTTATATAGATATGATAAATAATATATCTTTGCATATCATCTTTTTGGGTTACATCCTTAATTAAGCTTACATTATATTACTAAGAAGGCTTATTAAAAGTTTGAATCTTTTGTAAATATTAAAGTTGTTTCAGCCATGTGCCATTAACAAGTAATGGTTTACTCTATATCTTTTCAGATTCACTCTCGTGGACTAAAATTCGGAATGTACACAAATGTAGCTGAAATCACATGTATGCATTACCCTGGTTCTAAAGGTCACTTCAGTACAGACGCCAAAATGTTTGCAGATTGGGGCGTGGATTATATCAAAGTGGATGGATGTTTTGTGGGCGAAGCGTTTCTAAATAAAGGTAGTACTACTGTCTTGATGTAGCTTGGCGACAAGGTCTTAATATTCAATAAATATTTTTTATTGTTTTGGTATCCGGTCCGTCTCTCTATTAATAATTATTTGCGTATCTTTTTAACTTTTGTGTGTTTGATGTATTACAGCATATATAAAATTTGGACAGCACCTCAACGCGTCAGGTCGGCCGATGGTTTATTCATGTAGCTGGCCCTACTACATAGAGTTTATACATCACAAAACTGTAAGTTGAATCTAATTACTACTAATAGTGATTTTTTAATTTACTGATAAACTAGTAACAAAACGAGAAAACAGTAATACTCATAAAAAATTAATTACTTTTTTTTACTGCTACAAACACAGAGTAGATTAGCATTGTAACTATTATTCATTTAGATAAAAAGCTACACAATAACTGATGTATTTATCTGCATAAAAACATACATTGTAAAATATTAAATGAACAACATACCAACAGATTGTTAGTCCAGTTCCCATGGGTCTAAATTATATTATAATTTTCGTAAAACACTTAAGACGAGGTCTGAAAGTAATGACAATAGTATGGGAGGAATATCAAGTTATTGTCCAAATATTGAACCAACTCTTACACATGAAAAAGTCGTAACGTCTCTTCTATAATAAAGAGAAGTAAATGATCCAACCATACCATTTGAATCATTAGTTATTCGAATGACTGCTTGTGAATCTTAACACACTTTTATATCTAACTAGCTGCGTCAGCGTTATTTTGGGCGTCCAAATTCGTTCTTGCAAACTTCCTCTTCATCTTTATAAACTTAAGCTGTTACCCACGACGTCGTCCGTGTCCCGTCGTTCGTACACGTTAATCTTAAAAGATAGACATGTCGTGTCACGGACATTTTTTTTTTTATCATTTAAATGGGAATCGTTCTTTTATACATATTTATTGGGTAGCATGGACCCTTTCTGGACGTACGCATCGGAAATCTACAAAGATGAATAATTTTCCGCGTTTTTTCCACATTTCCCGCTGTTTATTCCACCTTTCTTGATAAATGTCTAACAAACCCAATAAGAATTTTTCAATGCTAAGTGTGGTTCCTGAGATTAGCGCGTTTAAACAAACAAACTCTTCAGCTTTATATAATAGTATAAATTAAGCATTGTTAATTTCAGCCGGACTACAAGACAATATCTCGGCACTGCAACATGTGGCGCAATTACCACGACGTGGTCACATCATGGCAGGCCATTAAGACCATCATAACACATTACAAGTCTGCCTATGACCAGTTGAGTGGACACCACGGCCCGGGACAATGGAATGATATGGACATGGTAAGACGTAGATAGCTTTATTATTACCACAGAATAAACAAATTGCACATTTTTTATGATACAGCAGACAGATGGAAGGGAAATAGGCCAGCCATCTAACACCTTAGCAAGATAAGCTGTCGATCTATTTTGAATTTGGATAATCGGAAATTCACAAACTGAACCGAAATGCGATTAAAAATTTTCATCTGTGGACGGTGGTTAGTGACCCATATGGAATTGCGATATTTCCACCACCACTTTAATATCGAGATTTCCAGAAGTCCAACATGTTTTAGGACATTTTTAAATAGATTAGAAAAATGTTGGTCCCGGTGGGGATCGATTTATCAATATTAACAATACATTGCTGTTATTACCCCAACGAGTCCGTTAGGTACTTTAAATAAATGCAACAAAAATTAGATTCGCAACGCCGCTATACCGATTTTGTAGTAACAAAATCCAAATCGGTCCTTAAAGCAGTGAAGGCTAGTTTTAGGGGGAAAATCGGTAACTTTGGGCCAAGATTTCGAAACTATAGCTATATACAATTATGTTGTAAAAGAGGGTAATGTAAAAATAGTTGTAACATAGTTAAATATTTGAAAACTTTCACATGATGGAATTATATATATAAATTACATTTCTTTTTACATTGAAGAAAAAATTACAACACTTAACCGCTTGAACCGCTATCCGCATTGTTCCCTGGTACTTCTCTAATCTGATACGGTAGCTCAATTGTTGAGAGCAATAAATTACAGTAAAAAATTATTATCGACTTCCAGCTAATATTCGGCACTGGATCGCTAACAGACAGCCAGAGCCGCGTCCATCTCGCCGTATATTCGATGTTAGCCGCGCCGCTGCTACTGAGTTGCGACACGAGCAGAATAACTAAGTACGAAAAGGAATTGCTATTGAACTTGGAGTTATTGGCGATCGCTCAGGATCCTTTGGGCATTATGGGGAGGCCGTTTGAGGTGAGTTTTAGGTTATAACTTATTACGTTGGCGAGATGAAAATTTTACAAATTCATTAAAAATATCAATACATTAAAAAACCTCCATTTACTACACTACAACAACAAGGATGCCATCTATTGGTAAAGTATTTAATTAAAACATTTCTGCACTTAACAAATTTTAAACTCGAACAGTCGTAGATTAAAACAAACGGTTAAATAGAATTAAGAACCGGTATTTTTGAAGAATCATAAAAAAAAATATATGAATTCGTAAAAAATATTAGAATAAAACCTAAATCCAATACGGATAAAAATAATAGGTGTAATTTTTGACCTTCCTAGATGTGGAACCATTCTTTTATCGTTTTTCACTTAATTTTCATGAAAGTTTACTAGTTTCTTATATATTTACATTTATATTATTACAAATATTACAGTATTAAAAAATAAAATCTATTTAAAGTTTAATTTAATTTCAGTTAGAAACATCAATAACCCTATGGGTTAAATCACATCTCCCGCGGAAAGGCGACAAATATCATTCCGTCTCTTTTGCTCTAATCAACTTAGAGGAGCACGCATCGTCTGTCACTTTCACGCCAGGCCTCTACGGACTTAATTCAACAGATGGATATACTGTCATGGTAAAATTATGATTAATTTCGACAAAGTCAGCGTGTCGCTGTCTCGTTTTATTGCATGATATTGGTAAGGGATGGATAGAGGCTGGGGCATTTTGATTAATTTGTTATTTCGTTATACGGTGCATTTATGTTACAGGATGTTTTTACAAGAGAATTTATAAGGAATGTTACCTTAAATGAGTCGATATTAGTAACAGTGCCAGAGGAAGGTAAATATTTTACGTACTATCCGTATTTCTTATTAACATAAAGAAAACAGTTTTAAACGTTAAATATTGTCTTACTAGCTGCGTCAGCGACTTCGTCCGCGTGGAATAGTTATTTTGGGCATCCAAATTGTTACCCGTCGTTCTTGCAAGTCGATCTTAAAAGATAGACATATAGTGCCGCGGACATTTTTTAAACCATTTAAAGAGGAATAATTCTTTATTACATATTTTCCTCAGCGTACTCATCAAAAACCAAGACAGATGAATAGTTTCCCCGATTTTTTCACATTTCTCTCTATCTTCGCTCCTATTAGTCACAGCGCGATGCTTTATAGCCTTTCTCGATAAATGCTCCACCTAACACAAAAGTTTTTCAATTCGAACCAGTAGTTCCTGAGATTAGCGCGGTCAAACAAACAAACTCTCCAGCTTTACATATGAGTATAGATTTGGTTTTAAATTCATATTTGTATATGTTTTAACTTTTATATAGCTGGGCTATGTTATCTATATTGATTATGTATATTTAATATATACAGTATGTTTTTATGTCGTCTACAATGATGATGCTATTTTTCAAGATTTTAATTTTTAACTTTTTTTTCAGACGTAATCCTGTACACTCTATTCCCCTTGTAAACTAGTACTTGTTACTACTTTTTCATCTCAATTTTTATAAGGGTTATCTCAACGACTGTGATTTAGTACTTAATAAATTATTTGAAATATGATTTCTTTTATTTCATCATCTCGAATAAAGAATATAAGTACAAAATATAATTGATTACGTCTTACGTTTTTATAAAACTAAGTAAGCCTTTGAGTAAGACTCACTATCGGACGAAGATTGAAAAAATTATTGATAAAGGGAGAACCCATCAAAAAAAACACACCGATGATAACGGTACCTCAGCTTATAGGTAAATGTTACGGTGCATAGTCGTAGATTCGATTCTGGCTGCTATTAATTTTTATAATGAGAAACAGTTGAAAAGCGATGTATACAAACATATATGTATACCAACAACAAAGTTACCATCGTCAAGCACTTACATTCATAATTTCAAATGAGTCAAAGATGAAACTCAATAATTTTTATTGCTCGTTATCATAACTGCGGGTGCATTTGGCTCCTATAAAACCGTTCCGCCAAAGCAAGTCTTGGCAGAGTGCTTTAATCTTGAAATTATATTCCGAAAACAGTCAAATGTGCCAAGCACTTCGACTTAACTTGCACCTACTTGAATCAATAAATTTACTTTTTGTGAAAACGTTGTTGAGAACGGTTCAAACGATAATTCTGTAAATAATGTTATCTTTAAATCTCTTGCTATGAAGATCATAAGCCAATCTAGATAGGAAAGGGGTGGGGAGGTAGATAAAATTAAATTAAGGCACATGACTTCAACCAATTCAGTTATAAATTAGAAAATAATATTTGATATTTAAATTAGATATTTTTTTAATGACGCAGTTCTATAAAAACGTATAACCTTTGGTTTTATCTAACAGTCAAAGAACAGGGCAAATATTGTTTTGTGCATGGATATAGTTTAACGTTAGGTTAAACGTGTTGCCTAGCATTTCGGTAAAACAAGATTAGTGAGACAATTGGAAACAGTGTATGCAATATGTCATGCATGATCGTCGTTTGTTTGTCCACGTATGTTTTAAAAGGTTGAAGTTAGCTTGGAAATACTTCACATACGGATATTATTTAGATTATATTCCTAATCCAGAAACACCGAAAAGCCAACTGAAATGTTCAGATAAGGTTTGGGAAACTGTAAAAATCCTACATAGGAGTATTTTTATTAATAATGTAGAGATATACTGCTAGTTCTAATATGCAAGTCTTGTTGTATGTATTTTATATATAGGGCTTAGGCAACGGTTTTAATAAATAAAAATAAAGTATGATTTTTTAAATTGAAGATGTTATATTCTCGTCATATACAACATTTACCATGCCCAAGAAGTTCGTTTACCCTAACTTACGCAAGGTATCCTTTGTAAGTTCAAAGACGAAAGTTTCCGTCAAAATAATTGGGTCGTCGCTGCGTGTGATAGACGCATATTGTGTTCCGTCTTGATTTACAGCTCTCCCCGGGAACCATTAAGTTCACTTCGCCATTATTACACAAATTAACCCTTAAGCTATAGCTTGTATAATTGAGCCGAAAAGCGAGGTGCCGACAGCTTATAACACGACCCGTTATAGCCTGTAATCTACCATTAAAGTCATACGTACAGCTAAAAGTATGCGATAACTACCAAAATAGTTGTGATGCGATATTACTAATCAATCGGTACATACTGTCTATAGTTAACGCGAGTAGTACACATTGAAATAAAACACTTTAACGGTTTAAAATGCGATATATTAGTTAAACCTATTTGAAAATGATTTTTAACTTCAGCCCGACGTTTCGGATGCTTTGCAGCAGCCGTGGTCACGGGGAGACAGAAAACGAAGTCAAAAATCATTTTTAAATAAGTTTAACTAATATATCGCGTTTTAAACCGTTGAAGTGTTTTATTTAAATAATACAAGACGTGCCAATAGTAGCGGATTCTTGTCCACCGTACCGAATGTATGTCAAATGTTTAACAAGAAAGTTATAGAGACAATTTAAATTGGCAGATGAAATTTAGTTATTTTTAAACGGTTTTATTTAGCTCGACCCGTACGGAATTTATTTATCTGGGTCAAAAATAGAAATTGAAATTTAAGCACCTTCACGTTGTCAGATTGAGCTGAAATTTTGTACACACATTTAATTTAGATGACAGTACAATATAAAAAAATCAATGTCATTATAAATTCAAGATGGCCGCCCCTACAAAATGGCGGATTACATATTTTTCCTCAACCCCCTCAATATGGGTAACAAATGAAAGGGCTACACTAGTAAAACACGATGATTATGTACATTTTTTTGTAGTTTTGTTTAGTAGCTCTGTTTAGTTGTAAAAAAATAATACATAAAATTTAAATTTTGTTGTAATCCTCGTTTCACCTTAGTTTCTCTATTCAAAATTAATTAAATTATTAAAGTTTTAAAGGCAGTCAACATTGATTGACTCATATATTGAGATCTTTTGTAGCATGTATATAATTCATACAATGTTTGTTCTTAACGCGTTGTTTAAAAGCTTAATTTCATTAAATATACCTACTAGGCAGTAATAATATAAGAACCATATTTTTATACGTCTATTGATAAAACCAATACACATTAACTCCTAAGGCAGTTAAAAGGTAATAACTATTCCCTAGGAGAGAAATCGTGGGAAAACAATTGAATAGAACTGCTTTATTGGGCTCGTAAAATATTTTCCCAGCTAAATTATACCTACAATTTTCCTTAATAGGTACGTCGGGTTGAACTCGTCGAGATTGTCAACGTTTTACAGGCGTAATCCCAGCCTTCCTTGGATTATGTTTTCTTGTACGTTCTCTAACTGGGACGAAATTATAATGAACAATACGTTATCTTTTTAGTAAACATTTTGTATGTTTCCTTAGGGGCTTTACTTGTAAATGCATTTCATATGTACTAGACAAGTAAAATCTTATGTGTCTATAGAAGCGGTAAAAAGAGGATGTCACTGACATGTTGTCGTTTATAATAAGCGGACGATAAACTTATGTAGTTATGTAAATAAAGTATATAAAATAAACAAATGGTTAATTTATACGAAATATTAAGTATTTAGGCGTAAGGACTGTCTTTTTCTTATTATAAAAATCATTGTCAAAGTTTTTAGAGCACGTATCAACATTAATGGACGAAGTACTTATTCGTATACAAAAATATATCTTGCTGTTTAAAACTGACTATTTACTAATTAAATAGCTTAACTAGCAAATGTATTTCGATGAAATGTGAGTACATAAAAAAGGTCTTTGTAAGTTGTTCTTGAAAGATACTGTGGCGAAATTTTACATTATGCAAAGAGGAATAATTCTTTCATACACATTTTTTTGGGTATACTGAACCGTTTTTGCAGCGCACGTTACGGAAACCACTTACCTCTGTTTCTTTGCCCCTAATGTCGCAGCCTAATGTTTTATCGCCCCAAGCCTTCCTCGGTCAATGGTCTCACCGAGACAAAAATATTTTTTCAATACCTAGTATTTTAGTAATTTCTGAGATTAGCGCGTTGAAACAAACAAACTTTTTAGCTTTATAATATAACTTTAGATAATTATTATAACGAGCCTCGAAATATCGAGGTTTAACCAAGGAATAAGTTACTGATCCTCAAAATTGTGCAGTACACATGTATACCGAGTCAGGGCACGTATCGCAAAACTCCATTTGTTGGTTCGCGAAGTTCAAATATTCCTATACATAGAAGATAGACACGACTCATATGAATTCTTATTACACATAATAACTTTGTTGATGCAACATAGATTACGTTTTCATCCGTGTCTTGAATGGAGAATTCAGGGCATGCTCTTGTGTTATTTTTGTACCAGTTAAACGGTACCTAAATTTGACTACTCACAAGATCCAATGTTGAATACCTGATGTGTGTTGTTTATTACGATCTCAGTGCGCGTAATTCATAAATTAAAGCAATAAATCACGTCACATTAAATTTACGCTTAACCCTGCTTAACTTTAAATAGTTTAACAAATTTTGATAAAATTATTTAAGACACTTCAATTTATTTTTTAATGCGATGTTATAGCGTCTTCAGGATCTTGGCCTCCGATTTCGGGGCTTAAATATCTTTAGGATCTGGGCTTAGCCAACGCCTGCCACTTTTATTCAAACACAAAATATCAAAGCTGTCACCTACGAAATTCCTATCAACAGCTGTGGTTGTCATGGGTGAAGTGGTTAGCTGATGGTGTGAACTAATCACCCGGCCTTCTATAAGTGTCCCCGATAGAAAATAATAAATAGTAATAACCGTGGTCGTCTCTCTTTCGTTAATACGGGCAACATAAACTTTCTAACCAAAATACTCAGAATAGTTTAACCACGACTAAAGACTATAGTAGAAGTTTAAACAACATTTTAAACGGTCCAAAACGTGAAATATTTTAGTTAAACTTATTTATAAATTATTTGTACTACGGCTTGAAGTTTCAAATGCTTTGCAGCAGCCATGGTCACACCATGACTAGAGGTGGAGGGTGTCACTAATGTCAAAGTTAAAACTGCTACCCTAGCGCCATATGTTCCGCCGTTGTTGGAATTTTCGCAAAACTGGGTGTGTCCTTGCAGAATCGACTAATAGTGTCCTAATAGTCTCCTCCTAATAGATTTGTGTTTTTTTTCATTAGTTATCATAGTAGATGTTGTTGGAAAGATTACATGTACCCCGCTTTTGCGTTTGCTTAGTATCTGTGATCAAATCAAAGCGTTTAACTCAATTCACACGAATCGAAGGCAGTGTGACGCGTAATCTCCGCTAGTCGAGATGACTAGAGATAGACTGTACCAGTGCTTGCATTTTCCACGACGAAACCGATACAAATCAATGAAACGTGTGATACAGTCACGTCAAACTGGCTTCAGTAAAAATTGAATGTACAAGGGAAAATAGGTCAATTGCGCTCATACATAGATAGACGATAGTTGCGGCTCTTCAAATACTATCAATTTCGGCTTTAGAT